GTTGTAGGTTTCCACTCGGGGGGTTCTCGCGAGAATTTCTTGAAAATACTGACGCTGTTTCCGATACTTCGTCTTCATCCTCGCTTGAAATTTCCTTCAATTTATCAATACATTGCTTTGCCTTCGTTTCAATTTTCATAAATGAGTCCTGGCATTCCGCTAACCATCTTTCCTCTACTTCATATTCATCGTCATCCTCGATTAGGTTTGTAAACTCCTCGTGTTTTTGCACTAAAAGTTCAAACGCTCCTTTACATTTATCCAAAAGTTCTTGTACCTCGTTTACCGGTCTTTCATTACCGATTACGTGATCTAAGGCTTTCCAGGCTCGAGTAAAAGCTCCTTTCGCAGTTCTTCGATCGATTTTACCCCGTTTCAACTGTTCAGTTTCCGCCATGGTTTCCTATCATTATTCGCTCGGTTTACAGTTCTCACGTTCTTCGACAATTTAACATAAATCGAATGTATGTTTCCTCAAATATGTTTCCTCACAGGACAGACTTTAGAACAAGACACCCAATCGTATAATGAAAATCTTATTCGATCTAAAACAAGTAAATTATGAATATAAGTAAATACAAAACGTCTTACAGCGGCGATAAACTGAATAACTGGAATGGAAACTGAATACGAAAATACAATAAAATAAACTTACTTACTTATGGTGATGTCTCTAAAGTGTCTTTGATAAGCTGGTTTCTGTCTAAATATTATTCCTGGTTAGCATGCGGTAACGATCGTGTCCTATTTTCCAACGTGTGAATACAACTAACTAAAACTAATTTGCATAAGAATAAAACAGAGCGGGATAATACAAAGCAACTTGTCAACATAATAATAATGTCCTTTAAGAATATATAATCAACGAAACAATGTTAGTACAGTAGAAAAATTCTTCAAGCTATGCATCCTACCAGAACTACTTGGAAAATACTATACAAAAAATGAAAGAATAACAAAATCAGACACAATTTTTTTGTCTTAGTTATCTCTGTGAATTTTTATAAAAAAAGAAAATTAACCATCAGATGTTTGGTAATGAAAGCTTTAAGATGAAATGGGAAGGCATACAATATTTTGTGTGCAAACAAAAGAGTTTTCTAAATAAAAATAATAAGAGAACAACCAAGATAATATTAAAATGTATCTAAGGTAGAAACAATGATTGATAAATGTGTTTTTAGCAGTTAGATTTTGCCAGACTGTGACAATCACAAAGTGAATAGAAAGCTATTTCTGTCTAGATAAGATAAGGCAGTTTTCCTTCTGCATTTTTTCCAATGACAACTCAATAAAAAAACAGCTGTGAGTGGTCTTGCTATTCTGAAATTTTTTTGTTCTCCTCAATCAAGTTTAATTCCAACCCTAGGCAATGAATAGAAGTTAACTTGTAAAGTAAGAAACTAATTAAAAATGAAAATATATACAACAAGAAAAACAAATTAAATGGAACAACAGAGTCACAAAGGTTTGTACACAGCACACCACTTCTACTTTGTTTATTTTGGGACTGGATTGTTGACTATACAATGCTTCAATATGAAGAATATCACTGAGGATTTTGAAATTGCTTACGTACCAAGCCTATAACTCATTCAACATGAATTCTTACATTTGCAAGTCTTCGAGTCTCTTCAACTTCAATTGGGCTTTCCCTTTTGTAAAGGCTGTTATTTCTAATCTGGCCCCCTTTAGTGCCACACTTTCACTGATATTGAAGCCCCTGTCTGCTAATACAATGTCACCTGGAAGCAGTCTGTTTAAAATGTGACTGTTATTAAGGACACTATTTTCGTTCTCCAAGGTTGCTCAACTTTTGCCCCAGGTTGTCAATGTCAAGCATCAAAAGTTCCGTCTGAACTTCAATTGAAGCTGACTTTGGAGATGAGCTGATTCCATTGCTGTTATTCAATTGCTCGTTAAACGTAGACAATGAATTCTACTGCTCCTCAATGTTATCTACCACATCTGTAGGCTGGCCTAAGCCTTGCGAAGCTATGTTTTCCCGATCGCTCGTTGCGTCTTTCCCAGCGAGAAGAAGTTTTTTGTTTTACATCTAAATGACCTAAACGCAATGTCAGGGCCCAATCTGGATGGAACTTTTGAAACAGAGCTGCGAGTTTACTGGTTATGAAGTGATGAGAACAAAACCAAACAAATTTTTTTCCATTGAGATCTGCACGTCATATGTTACTCAGCCACTTATTCCTTCGTTCAGTAGTTTACTCCTTCGTTTGTTGATCCAATTTCGTTATTATTTTTGGTATACGACGAAATAAGCTCTTTTTTTCACAGTCAGACCGATTTGAACACCCGAACACACTACAACAGTTTATCATGTTGGATTAATGAGCACCATCATAATGGTGGACGGGAGGGTACGCTAAATTGTTGCTAGGCAACAGCTGCATATTGAAACCGCTCTATGGGTATGTTTTTGCCATGAAACCGCATTGGCCCATGTCGATATTTCAAACCAAGGTACTTTAACACCAGGGTTTACCAAGAATCAATTCACCACCCTTGCTCTGGATAATGATGATTTCTTAAACTTTGATAAAAAATGTTGGATGATGTTGGACAATGTTGGGATGGTTTGGCCACCCTGTCCAACAAAATCATGTTCTTGCAAGGGCAGAAAGGAAAAGCCCACCACTTTGATTTGTTGCTGCAAATGCAATTTACGAAAGATGGAAACCAAACATCCACAGAAAAATCAGCTTTTTGAATCGAGTCGGCTTCGTTCAGACAAAAAGGAAAATGAAGACTGTTCTTACGACAACATGGAAGAGTTTGATGACGATGAAATAAGGAAATTATTGAAAATAAAGAAGAAGGCCCTGTAAATTAGAGACAAGCGGGGCAGCTGTCAAAAGGTTCAAAGAGAAAGCGTTTTGTATTTGACAATAACTCCCAACCATCAAAGCAAAACCAAGTCAGGGATGACTGCCAAGAAAAAACAACGGACAATGATAAAGAAAAACAAAGAGAGAAAAGCAAAAAAGTGGAGCACAGACGAAGTAACAACGCTAATTGAAATATTTGAAGAAAAGCCATGCCTCTGGAACGTCTACAATAAAAGCTACCACATGAGAGATAAAAGAGAAAAGGCATACAAGGAGTTTGATTCTGCACTTGGTGTTTCTTCAAATTAAAGTTCTTCAAATAGAATTTCTGTAAACATCGTAGATATTTCAAGATTGCAGAGAAAATAAGGTAACATGACCCAAAGACATGTTTCTGAAAGCTACCCACTCTTGAATAAGCTGTTAAAATCATCCTGAGAAATTGAAATTTCCCGGTGAAAAATTTGATTCATTTAGGAAAAGAATATTAAATACATTAAATATTTATTGACTTGTTTTCAGGTTCTGGTGGTATTAGAAAGGTACTTGAAAAATTTGCATGGAAAATATGTTACTTATGCCAATGATGTCATGGATAGAGTGTATTTGGCTCAAGGCCTTGTTGGTGACCAGCTCAGTGTGGAAAGAGGAGTGAATTGCCAAAGTGGAATGGATCCTGAAGAGAGATTAGAAGGACTACATTTTGAGATTGCTGATTTTCATGCAGGAATAAAGTTTTTACAAGTAAGCACACCTTACACCTTACACAATATTACCCCAATGTTGGATTCTCATGCATAAGTGCATGATCCATATATATATATATACATATATGATTGTCTGTTAAACGAGTGTAACAGCACAAACACAGTATCTCATTTTAGTTGCAAGCTTTCCATTTTCAAAATTTTCAACCACACTTTTCATAGCAAAAAAGATACCAAAAAGTCCCCTTTTCTTGTTATACATGTTTATTGTTGTTTTTTTCTTTCCATCCTTAACATAGATTAAGATTCAATTGAAAGTTAATCGCAGTTTATAATTTATTTGCCTGTCAAAGTCCCACTTTTCTTTCCATTCTAGCTGGCATTTGATAACTTTTTAGAGTCAACAACAAAAGACAAGTGCACTATGTTTTGTGACAAATCACTGATAAATAGAAAGTAAAAGCATGCAAATAGTTTTTCACCCTTGAAATTGAAGACAGAATCCCTGCTTCAATTCTTGCTGTCCTTGGTATAGCACCACTTAATGATCAGCCTGATGAAAAGATTTTACCAGCAATTATTCACTTGCTGAAAAGAAAATTATACTTGAAAAGATTTGCAGTGAAGTGATTGATAGGTTTGTCCATAGTAAATAGAAAAGGACTGGTACGGCAACTTCGCGCCTAACAAAAGAAAACTTATTATGCTCGAATTCTGCCTTCGTGGGGGGCGCGAAAGTGCACAACAATTACCGAGTTCGCTTTTGGCAGCAATTGAGTTGTGTGTGTTTGGTTAGAACATTATGTCACAAGTTTAATTGCGAGATGCCAGGAGCAAATTGCTCGATTTACGGCTGTGGAAGTAACAGAAGACATAAAGGTTTAAGTATTTTCAAAGTTCCAGGGAGCAATGTGAAAGAACACGAGGATTGGAGAGCTAAGTTACTTGGGAAGATTCTAAAGGACCGTGAAATCGATGAACCCCTCAAACAACGAATCGAGAGTGGGTCCATTTATATTTGCGAAAAACATTTCACAGAAGACTGCATCGAAACTTGTAAGTTTTTACCAGCATTTGTTTTTTCAGATGAATTCTAATATTTTTTTATCAAGTTGTGTCAAAGACCACCCACGACAGACAGAGAGGCTTGCCTTAGGCCTATCGTTTTAGCTGCTTTGTTTTTGTCTTTCCGATATGTTGACGTTTAGGTTTTCCGTGCATAACAATGTAGATTCAAAACTTTGTGCCTAAACTTGGTTTGTTTGGTTTTTGCACAACTGTTTACCTATAATAGGCCCCTGAAAATGCCTTGCAAATCTTGCAAATTTTTAAGCTGGTATGATTCCGCTATTTGTGTCATCTTCAAACTTTTAAATAGTAATTTGAATTTTTTTCAATAGTGTTTCGAAAAATGATCATAAACTGTGTTCAATCCATGGTCAATCCACGGACAATGCTTATAAAACAGAACTCTCGCAAATGCAACTGCCTTGGCATGTCTCTTATAAAATGTCTTTTTCTCTAATAGGAGATCAGATACCAGCCATTCAAAATGTATATGCTGATTCCAATAATTTTATAGTGCAATGGACCTCCTCAATAATATTTTTCCTTAAATATACATGTGCAAATTACATCTTTCATACAAATCTTTCCTCTACTGTCATAGATGATTCAACTTCAAGGAAAACATTAAAGCCTGGGTCAATCCCTACATTACAAATGCCAATAAAGTCACATACCACAGAGAAAGTGCCAAGACGGGAGCTAAAAAGGATCAACTTGGAAAGCACCAGCAAGAAATGTTTTGTATATGACAGTTTCAAATCCCTTCTTGCTAGAGTAAAAGGGTTGAAGCTGGAAGGATGGAATTTAGAATGTAAAGAAGACAGGGTTATTCTTCAGAAGCAAGAACCAGATTGTTTTATTCCAAAGTTTGAATTATGTGTTGATGATAGCCTTGGCTACTATATTCAGGTATATGGGTGGTTGCTACCTGAAGATCATCCATTATACACAGTTAACCATAGATCGATGAGGCACATCACACTGTCAAACTTAGTTGCAGATATTGATGGGTATCGCATATGTACTGGTTTGTCTATTAAAATAGCATCCCAACATACAGTTAACCATGTTGTGCCAAGAAAATTTGACCCTTTATCCATAGAGCAGGACATACAATATAGGTCATCAGAGTATTGTAGGTCAATAAACTGCCTTCTTGTCTGCCCTACAGAAAAATGTGAGCATTGCATTGAAGGGGATGATTATGGAATCAAGGTAACAAGGGATAATAAAAGAAGATTATCCATTCCTAGTAAATTGAATGCTCCAGTTTCCAAAACACATCCAGAAAGATTGAAGCAGAGTATGCAAGAGCAAAGGTTGAAATGCAGCAAGCTAGAAAGTGAGATTGAAAGGATGAGGTCTGAATTAGCTGCAAATTCTGTTTCCATTGAAAATGAAATGAACAATGACTTCTTGTCCATTATTGATAATGGTTATACCGAGATGACTCCCTTTATGCAATTGTTTTGGCAGGAACAGAAACGGTTGTTTTCTTATTCAAAAAGAGGGCAAAGATATCATCCTATGATAATCAGGTTCTGTTTGTCTCTTCATAGTAAATCCCCAGCTGCCTATGAAGAGGTCAGGGATGCTCTTGGAAGAAAGCAAGGAGGAATACTGACATTACCTTGCAAAAGAACATTAAGAGACTATAAAAACTGGATAAGACCTAAATGTGGTTTTAATGAGGATGTGATTTTGGACTTGGTTGGGATAACTGACAAGTATTTTGGTGTACAGAGGTATGTTGTCTTGCTCTTAGATGAGATGAAAATCAGAGCAAACCTAGTATATGACAAAGTTTCAGATGAGCTCATAGGCTTTGTTGACCTAGGAGATCCACACCTCAATTTTGGTGTACTGGAGAAAGTTGATCAACTTGCCACTTATGCTTTGATGTTTATGGTGCGAGGATTGGCAACTGATCTGTGCTTCAATTTGGCCTATTTTGCAACAAAAGGTGCTGTGTCTTATGAGATATTTGCAGTGTTTTGGGAAGCTGTTGCAATATTGGAGCTAAACAACATCTGGGTCATTGCAACTACCTGTGATGGAGCCTCTGCAAATAGAAGCTTTATTAAAATGCACAAGGAACCTGGAAGTCAATCAAATGTGACTTTCTTTACTGTTAACTTTTATGCACCAGAAAGAAATATTTACTTCTTCTCTGATGCTCCTCATTTAGTGAAGACTGCCAGAAACTGCCTTTATCATTCTGGCTCTGGAACATGTACACGATACATGTGGAATGATGGAAAATATTTGCTCTGGCAGCATATTTTCCAGTTATACCAAGAAGACAAGAAAAATGGCCTTCAACTGCTCCCAAGGATAAGATCTGATCATATCAAGCTTACCTCTTACTCTGTTTGAGGGTGAATTTAGCAGCACAGATTCTAAGTGCAACAGTTTCTGCAGTTTTGATAAAATTTGGCCCAACTGATGCTTGTGAAACAGCAAGGTTTTGCAAAATGTTTGACAGTTTCTTCGACTGCCTCAATGTAAGGAGTATGAAAGAGCATTTGATGAAAAAAAAACCATTTCTTGCCCCCTATAGAGATTTGAATGACTGTAGATTCAAATTTCTTGAAGATGACTTTTTAGGCTACTTAAAAGCATGGGAAAAGAATGTTCAAGAGCGCGAAGGCCCTTTTACTGACAATGCTCGTGCTAAAATGTTCATCTCAAGACAGACTTTTGAAGGCATTAAAATAACAGTCCATTCTTTAATTGCTGCATGTAAATTCCTGTTGCAAGAAGGAATGGAGTATATCCTTTCAGAGAGGTTTTGCCAAGACCCAGTAGAAGAATATTTTTCAAGCCAGAGGTACTTGGGAAGGAGGTGTGACAACCCTGATCTTGTTGCATTTGGCTACAATGATAACACAATTAGAATCCAGAGGCACATAGGACTTGGTACTGGCAATACAAGAGGCTCAAATTCTGGGAAAGCAGGCAAAAAATGGGTGAATGTCGTAGAGAATAGTCTGCCAAAAAGGCAAGGACAAAGAAGGAATGACAGAGACAATGAATGATTCATGCTTGAACAATAGTTGTTGAAAATTAACATTTACATAGAACCTTTAATATACCTTTCCAGTCGATCTAATGTGACCTGTTTGATAAGTTTGATATAATTAGTGCAGATAAATTTATGGTAACATTTGTTAAGATAGCATTAGATAAGATAACTTTTTTGAAAAAATTTGAAAAGAGAAAATCTGAAAATTTTTTCTTTAGCCTATTGTTTATGTGGTGTATTATAAACCGTGAAAATACTAAAAAGTAAGGCCATATTTAGGGGGAAATTGGAAATTTGATACAATTAATTTTTAAAAATTTCATTGTATGCCTTCTACCAAACAGATAATGAAAATTGTTTCTATCAAATGAAAGTAAGGTTTCTCAATACCATGTTTTCACTTTTTATTATGGACTCTAGATATGTCCATTGTTGTTTAGATGATGAATAATGTCTCCAACTGAAAAAGATTTATATCAAATGTGTAAAAACTGATGTGCAATTTTTCAAACAAACTTGCATAAAGTATATACTAAGTTCAAAAGATATAGTTGAAGTTACTTAATTTGCTTTAAGACATCACAGTCTGATTTGCTTGATTTGAAGATTTTTTAATTTCTTTTCGCAGTCCCTTTGCCTTTGACAATTTTCCTTTAGATTTATATTTGTCCACAATGCCTTTGCAGTAGGTATAGCATCTCACTCTAACATAGAGATCTAGGATTGAGTGGAAAACATCTTCAGCAAGTTCTGCATCAATAAGAAGTGAAGACTCGCCAAGGACATTTTGAAAATTGGAAGTTATTTCCATGTCCTGCATACACATTTCCACAATTTTCTTGCGTTTGAATTGTGGTGCGTGGTCTGCTCCTAACTGCACACTGCAGTGTTTGAAATGAAACTCTGCTTTTCTAAGCATATTTTGTGCTGCATTAGAAATACTCCATAGGCCTCCTCGGTTTAAGCAGGTAACAAGCGTATCAGACTCTGGAACCTTATCTTGCTTTGCAGCTTCAAGGACAGATAGTATTTGTTGCCCCTCCTTGGTTTTCCATTTACCTGAATTGGATATTTTCTTATGAAGATTTCTGAAAATATATCCCCCAAGGTACTGCAGACCAGCAATCTCTTTACCTGAAAGTTGCTCAGATTTTGGAAGGCTTGAAGAACCATGTCTTTCTTCTTCAGTATTACATTTTCTTGACACATTTAAAATATTGACAGCCATACTACTTGCAAACAAAGTAGCAACCTTTGGGGAAAATGTTGGAAAAAATGTTGATGCATGTTTCACAATGTGGAGGTAAAACTCAGAAAAAAATTTCTCCACCTTTGCATGAGACTTAGTAAGGAGACTACAAATTGGCTGAAGACTATGAAGCAGCTCAATTAGATTTTCTGGTGCAACTTCCCTACTAATGTCCTGGACAAATTCATCACGAATTGGTTTTGGATAGCACATGTTCTTTGAAAGCTTAACTGCTGTTTCCTTCCCAATTTCTACCAAGGATGATGCTGTTAATATCCATGTATCCTCAACTAGTTCCATGTCATCATCTGATCTGTCCCTAGTGCTCCCATGTTTCGAAGAAATGTGTCTGGTTAGACCTCCTTTACTTTTGCAAGCTTTGTTGCATGTGGTGCATAAAAATAAACCAGGCTGAACCTACAAAGAAAAAAAAGACAGCAATTAGCTGAAACCTGTGTGCAAAAGTTTACTGATCATCAAAAAAGGCTTTAACTGACAAATTCTTCAATAAAATTTAGATTGGAACCGCTTTCAAGGTAAATGAGGCCATTGACATTTTTGTAACCATATGATTTATACTTCCTTTAACATGTTATGATATGATGCAATGTAGATTCAATTCCCTAACGGGGAATGACCAACTTAGGCCATGGTTGATATATGCGCTATTTGTGGAACTTTGATGGACTGACAGCCTTAAGAGCCCATTACAACAGTGTTAAACTTGGGTCTATGGTGAAACAGGAATATAATTATATATCAGGGGTACGAATGGGCTCTTGAACGTCGTTAAAGCCGATTAACTGTAGCAGCGTTTTGAAAGCCGTGTTGCTGGTTTCATCTGCTTTATTCGCAGCATACGAAGTAAGAGTTCCGATTATACGTAGTAAATACTTTTAAAACGTACCTCGTTTGCCAATTCTTCAAATGACGTGAAAATCTTCATCCTCATCCAACATGTCAAAGTAAATTTGGAAGTTTTCCCCCATCAGATATAGCTCGTTAGTAACCTCCATGATGTTCTGTGCACTTTCGCGTCACGTGACGGTGCGTTTCAACCTCTCATTTGAGAACAATGCTGATTTGAATGCCCCTTTGTTATGTTGCCGTACCAGTCCTTTTCTATTTACTATGGTTTGTCTAACATCAAAAGACCTCACTTCTTTGTCTTACTTCTTGAATTGAAAAAAAGACAGGGGTACGAAGATTGGCTGAAAATTTGCAATCCTATGACACCTGATGGACTTTTCAAATGTAGATTTTCATCATGCAAAAAGACATGCAAGTTTAATAGAAAAAAAGGCCAATCAGAAAAACGCAAGCACAAGACCGGTATAGTTGACCAATCAGTTGATCAAATCAGTTGATCAATATAGTTGACCAATCAGTTGATATAGTTGATCAAACGAAAAAGCCGCCATTGTCTAGACAAAAGGAGTTCGTTTTCTCTCTTGGACTCCATTGGTAATTTTTCTTTAGGCTCGCGGCACTGATTGGTCAACTATACCGGTCTTGTGCTTGCGTTTTTCTGATTGGCCTATTTCGATCCACAACTGGGTATATATTTTTCCATCGTGTTTTTTCGGAACCTATTCTGACGTTTTATGCTCTGAGGAGTGTCAGACGAAAAAGCTTTAAGTATGTTGTAAAATGTTTGCTTTTTTTAAAGCCATCTTTATAATTAAATGTAACAATAAATAAGGTTTTACTTATGGATGCTAGAACCTTACCTTTATAGCTAAACGAAACAAGTCTTTGTTCAGTAAAGTACCAGATGCATGGTTGCAGTTCACACTTTCACCTCTCTGGCTCTCTGGAAATTTCAAGTTGATGACCAAGAGTTTACAGAACAAATCAAAAGTTGTTTTCTTTCAATTCATTGTTTACTTGAAATTCAACCAACATACAAATCTAAATAGGGGTAAAATTGTAACAAATTATTGAAACAAATCTAGCTATGAATGAAACAGTTACAAATTAAACGTCTTATAACAGAATGAGTCTTTTTTCTCAAAAATAAGTACAAAAAAGTATGTCTCGTTCCTTAAAGGAGGATTTCATTGAATCTCACTGTCAGAATATTTCTTTCTTGTGCAAATTTATTCACTTGTCAAACTCGCTTCAAGTGAGAGAAAAGTTGGATTGTCATTCATCAAACAGTAAAAGTCTGATCTCTTCAGACAAACTAGATGGTTGGATTTATGCAAAGTCAAACTTACTCTTATAGAAAACCAAATGAAGCACCACAGCATGAAAACTTAAACTTGACATTTAAAAACTGTTCCAAGCGCCACCAAGAAAAAACTGGATGCTATTTGCTGAAGGATGGTATGGAATAGATATATCACCCAAAAAATGTTAATCTTTCTATCCATTCCTTTTTAGAACATTTTTTTCAAGAGGGCCATTGAGAAGTTGTTTACACGAGTGACTTTAAATTGGGTTAAATTTACTCAAAAAATTCTCTTTAACAAACCAAGGTTAGGATTAGTATTCAAATTCTTGTCTTGTTTTGTTGATTCTAAAACTTCAAGTTTCTCTAAAGGTTTTTAAACACCAATATGCTAAAAGGCTTTTCCTAGGAAATCACACCAAACAAAGACATCATCTTGCATCAGACTTATTTAAACATTCTATTTCGGGATTCTGACCTATTCGTGTAAAAGTGTTTTGTTAAACAATGGAAATGGAAGCAATGGTTCAAGAACTGCAAACTCAGTTGACCGCAGTTCAAGCTGGTATAGAGGGGAATTCCAGTCCAGTCTATTCAAACCTGCTCTTCTAGCCCTCTTCCCTCCGAAGATGTAAATGAGTTGCTTGAAAAATTTGAAAATTTTTTCGAAATTTTATAATTGGTCGAATGCCAGAAAACTTGGTGCACCAACCTTGCTTTTAGAAGACCCCACATTAGACTGGTACCAAACATTACCGGATGAAAAAACTGGAAGTTTTGCCAACCTCTGCACCGTCTTAAGAGATCGTTTTGGTGCACAAAAATTAGAATTTCTCTTCAGGCAAGAACTCTACTCCTGGAAACAGGGGCTTGCAGAGCCTCTCACTGTTTATACCAAGGATATTCTCAACAAATTCAAGCCTTGCCTTGCAAGACAAGGAAAAAATGAACATATTTATAAACGGCCTAACTGAGGATCTTAAAACTAACGTTATTTTGAATCAGCCCAAAACATTCACAAGGGCAGAAAATTTGCCCACTTGAAAGATGGTTACATTAGAGAAGTCGAGGGTCAAGTTAATTTAATTTATCATTGGCCTCACAAAAGAAAACACAGCGATTACAAGATGGAACATGGAACATGGAACAATCCCATGGAACAACAGATGCTGTCTTGTGTTGATCTTCCTCTTTGATAGCGATCTGATGGTATGCATCCTTTAAATCCAAAACTGAGAAGACTTGCTCCATTTAGTGAATCCAAAATATCATCAGTACGTGGAATAGGGTACACAGTCGGTATGGTTTTTGCATTGAGTTGACGGTAGTCTATACACACGAGCAAAGTACCATCTTTCTTGACAACTGGGACAATTGGTGGTCCATAAGCCGAGTATGATTTTTCTATGTAACCCTTGTCTTTCAGCGTTTCTATTTGTCTCTCAATTTTCTTCACGTTGACTGTGCGGTATGCACCTTGCCATGGCAGAAACTGGTTTGTCATCTGAAAGTGCTATTTCATAAACAATTGGGATATCTGTTGGCTTCATGAGTTTCTGCTGCATCACTTCATCATATTTCTGCACAACGTTTTGTACTTCTTCTTTCATTTATGGGTCTCCAATTTCGATTTCATCCAGCTTTAGTAAACTTCCTGTAGTATCATTTTTTCTATTTCCTGCAGCGCCCCAATATTTTGCCCTTTGTTCACTTTGACAGAATTACCTGAGTGATTAGTGATTGGTATTTTCACTGTCTTCCCTACATTTGTCCAATTGCCCAAAGGCGGAATTCTCACATCATTTACTTCGATAAATTCATCTCCTGCTCGCATATCTAGATACATGGACGCTAATAAACGTAAAATTTTAATGAGACCTTTTTTAATTAGCCAATTTGAATATTTTCCACTGGTCTTGATGTTCCACAGCAGGCACTTGAATAGTGAGATTAATAGAATACACGAAAGAGCTTTGAGAATTGCATGCAAAGAATATGAAAATTACTCTGCTAGAAAATTATGGCTCCGTAAATATTCATGTAAAGCACCTGCAAAATCTTACGATTGAAATATTATGTACTTAAAATTTGATGTATTTAATCTCGTTTGTATTTATTTGATGTAATAGTTTTAACAGTTGGCTTGGATTAGCTCATTTCACTGTAAATTGCTATGTAGCGCCAATTTTAAATAAATTTATTATTATTATTATTTTTATTATTCGGTATTTCTGACTGCGGAATAAATTTGTACCTTTCCTGAATTGTTTTATTCTTCGCAACTTTAAAAATGCATGGCTTATAAAGTTCTTGTTCTACTTAGAATAAAACAAGAAGCGCATGTACGAATAATGTATGGGCCAACAGATTTGTTTGAAATCAGCAAAGGAGTGAGACCAGGCAGTATTCTATCTCCATACCTGTTTAACTTATATGGATAAATTATTATAAGAAACGCAGGGCTATATGAAAAACAACATCGGAATCAAAGTAAATGGTAAAACCATTAATAAATTAATTATGCAGAAGACACGACCCTGATTGCCGAAACCAAATAGACAGGGAATTTTGCATAACAATCTAGCAAACTGGGTAACCAAAGTTTTTAAAGTTAAAATCATAAGAGTAAAGTCCACTGATCATTTTAAGCCCTGGGAACATTCAGGCAAATGATCGGAAGTTGCGTTTATGGAAGCACGAAAAAAGCACGGTCAGCACAATATCAATTTTTGAATTTTTCAAATCTGATGATACTATCGGAAAAACTTGCAAAACTAAGCAAAAGATTTAAAAAGAGAAATGTGATCTGAGCTATAAGCAAAAAGTTATGGGCGTGGAAACTTTTCGTTTTGTCAAACAACTTGCTTTCTCGAGTTTCCTGATAGTGCAGACGCATAGCAGTAGAATTGGGCATGTTATGATAATAGCATGAAGTTTGGTACAAGTGCACAATCCGATATGCTGAATAAGATGAAGTTCATATCAAGCTTCAAAAAAGCCCCCAAATGTTTGCTAAAGTGAGACTGTCAGGAAAACCAGGTCATATGTATAAGTTCAGGAAAGCTCCATTGACCCGGTTTCTTGTCACTGGAAGCAACAGCAATAGCAATGTTGAAAAAGATGCAGCAACAACTGGGAGTTCAGAAACCAAAAATTTTTCTCCAACTTCCAAGGTTCAAAAAAATGAGTATGATTTTCCTTTTCCAGATTTCCTTTCCTTTTCCACCTTCCATATTTTTTATACATATATGGCCTTCTTACAGATACACCCTCTAAAAATAGAATTTTTCGAATCGGACATGTAGTTTCTGAGATCCCCACTTTCGCCAGGTCAAAGATATCTGCACATGAATGTACAGCAATTGTACCGCAGCGAGACTTTTGTGCATATTCTGACATCGAATATGTACATTCATTGCCTCTAAATTCTCAAGTGCATAAGGCAAGCATTGAGGGTATCTGCTGTTGATTTTACATTGCTATGAATGAAAAGAAATGTGCGCTGTAAACAAGAAATTGTTAAAGTGAATGGCCTGAGCTGTAATGCTCGATGCTAAACACAATTGACTATTCACTTCCCTTCAGGCATGCCCGATATGTAGAGGTGATAGTTAATCAAAGGGCATCCATGAAATCAAAAGAATGCAGTTTTGATTGATAATGATAAAATCTTTTGTTGGTAGAACAGATAAACCTTTTCAACTTGACTTAGAGGCACACTGGCATTTACAGTCATATAACATTAACACTCAAATACACTCTCTATTCAATGTAACCCAGTTTACAGTCACATTCTGCCTCTACTGTTACATCTTTTCAAGCAACATTTGATGTTACTATAACTGGAGTCTACTGTAATGCTGAAGTGTTTGTAACATTCTCTTTGCAGCTTTATCTATCAGTGGCGGTAAATTTGTTTGGGAAAAATCATTAAAAGAAGAATGTCAGCCCTGGGAAAAGTTTTTGATCCCCAACAGAAAAAGTGACAGGATGGTTTGTTTCAATTCCATTACTGAAGGACTTTATAAGTCTGAATTTGCTGCCAAACAGTCACAGTGCAAGTCCTATTTAGAGAGACAGCGCGTGATTCCGCTGGGGCTGTCTCTCTCAGAAGTTAAAGATGCTGCCAAGAGGCTTGATGCTTACAAAGAAGGAGTGATACCAAAAGAAAATATCAACTACTCCAGATATAGAGAATTTCCAAAAAAAGTTAATGTACAAGATTGGAGAAATGTTGACGTGCTGTCTCCCATATTTCTACAATGCATAAAAACTTCAGGGGAAAAAAAGACAGACTTAGCAACAGAAAAAAAGAATTGTATAGCCCAGATTTTAAGCTAGCAATGGCTGACATTTGTGGAGGAGGAGCTTTCTGTTGTTGAAACAATGATTAAAGAGATGCAGATATGGCGTATGTTCTTCATCAACTGCAAAAAAAGGTTTGGAGAGGGAGATGTTTTGCAGAGCGAGAGAAAGAGAAAAGCTAGACGAGCAATTGAACAAAGGGCCAAGAAACAGAAGAAAATTAAAGATGATGATGAAAGTGGTGATGAAATGACATTATGGAGTAGCATAAACATTTGACAAACAGATAACAAGACATTTTCTAGACATTTGTGAAATATTATAAAAGATATTTTTCATCTGAGAAAATGTTCAGTGTCTTGTTGGTAATAAAATTTTGTTGCATTAATGTATTTGAGGTCAGGTAGATAGTTCTTTTTTTTCGAAAATGTGCATTTTGAATAAATAATTGTACTCAATCACTTTTTCTTTACGCAACCATTATTAGGCATTATTTATCCACTACCCAATCAAAAGCTGGTCCAATATTTTCATTACCCAACCATTTTCTCTTCTGCCCCAACCCCGGCCATAAATAATGACCAGTCCCTTAAATGAACATGGAATTCTTTGCCATTTTTTGAGTCCAGGTAATCGTCAAGTTCAACAATTGCATGTACAAGTTGTCATTCTAGCTTCATTATACCTTCATTAAGTTCTAGTTGTTTTAGTCATGATTATTGCACAGTCACCTTGGTATCACAAAAGCTTTTGCCAAAATACCCGCACGTTATTATTAGCCAAATATGTTCAATGATACTGAACATTGGTGTAACTGTTGTTTTGATTGTGCAATGAAGAAGATACCCTGTTGACACCAGAAGGCTCCATTGCTACCTATTCCAGTGGAAGGAGACAGAGTGGCTATAGAATATTCTTGGTCCATTTCCAGAAACTCATGATGAAAATCGTTATGTTATCGTTATTTCCGATTATTATACTTGTTGGCCGGAAGCATTTGCCTTGCCTTGCCTTCTGTTGAAGTATACTGGATCCCATTCTCGCTGATGAAATTATTGCTTGTCACAGTGCTCCTCGAGTTCTACTATCCGATCCAGGGCCTAACTTTCTAGCAACAATTGTGAAAGAAGTGTGCAAAATTATGAACACACGATGTCAGCTCACCACTGCCTACCATCCACAGACAGATGGTCTTGTCGAGCGTTTTAATGCAACTTTGGCCAAGGATCTTTCTCTGACGTCAGCTCTAATAAAAAAGATTGGGACAAGTTGATTGGGAAAAACAAACATTGATTGCATCTTAATCTTGCCCAATCAATTTCAATGTTTGTACCGTAATAATGTTTGTTTTTGCGCTTTTTTCTCAACACTTCATCCACTGTAATGGCTACCCAAGCATCAGCAATTAATAGTGCCCATCTGAAAATAGCTTTGCAATCAGGTGTAAAAAAGAGACATAGATACAGGCTTATATTGCCACCATTCATTTCCATATGACGTCAACAGTAATAAAGAAGGTGCCAAAGATGAAAAAGTTTCAAATTCCGAATCTTTATCTATCAGGTAACCACACAACATTTCGTTATAATATTAATAACCTACTCATTTTATGTTGATTTAAAATCATACTGTAGGAAGTGTTTTGGTTTTGGCTCCCAAAGCAGCAAGACTGTTGCACAAATTAACACAATAAGCAGACTAAATGTGAATCCCAACATAAAAGTTTGATGTGTTTAACAAATAAGGATGCACCTCCAAATTTACCATCCTTCAACGAATCAAGATGGCAACCTTCAGAGAATGTCCAGAACCTTTTTATTAAGCCAAAATTCCTCTGCTTCTTTCATCCTGTATTCCTCTGGCACCGTTCGATTTAGTTGATAGAATTCGCAGATTTGGTTTTGGTGCTCATAAGTACATTGAATTCATTTATTACATAACAAACCTAATATCCTTAAAGTTATACATTATATATTTGGTTTAGGAAACATTAGAAGCATTGCAATTTGACGAATTGTTTGAGCTTGCTGTATCTGTATTTGAGGACAGAAAGTCCCTCCTTATAGATATCATTAACAACAAGGGAACTCCATCACAAACCACACACACTTCTTGCCCAAACTGGTGTTCTTTCTGTGACAAATGCAGAGAAATGCCTACAAAAAAAGAAAAAATGTTGCAAAAGGAAGGTTTGCCACACAACAGATCAGACATTTTATGAAATTGGCCTGAAAGGAACAACTTTGAAGGTTGCAATAAATTCAAGATGTGACATAAGGGTAGATATTCCAGCATTTGATAGAAAATCCCTTCAGAGGTGTATATACAAGATGGCCGACGTATTCTAGAAAGCTGCAACAAGCGGTGGAATACATTTACATGCGACATGCTAGTATGATTTTGTGGGTTCTTTTTTCTTCATCTTCCCTTCGTTACCAAGTTTTAGTAATAGTTAATGGCTAAGCCACATCATTGTAGTATCTATGCCCAAAATGACGAAGCCACGCCAAGGTAAATCTGACTCTCCCACTTCATCAGATGCATTCCCTGCAGGTTAAACTTCTTCATGGCCTCATGAGACAACAGTTTGAGAAGTTAAAATAGCAGAAAAGAAAATAAAATAGTGACAAAGGATTGTATTAGTAACTTTATGAAAATTATTGAAGATCAAAATAAGAAAATTAATATGATGGAAGATAAGGTCGCAGTCCTGGAGAGCCATAAATAACAGCTCCAAATAGTAAACGATAATTTGGAGCAATATCAATGCTTCCTTTGCTTGCGTATTAGTGGCATTGATCTGCCGCCTCATGGCATGAATCTGTTGACGATTGCCTTGACAAGGTCAAACTTGTTTTTGCTGAACTTAGGGTAAAAGTTCCCGAAGAGGTTATCGATCAAGCTCACAGAGTGGGCAAGGTTAGGAACCATAATGGGAAAAGTGGCCGGCAGATGATTGTACGCCTAACTACATGGCGCCACAGACCCATGATTTACAGGGCAAGGAAAAACGCCACTAAATATCGAGTTAAGCTTGATTTAACGAAAAAGCAAAGCGAGGTCTTAAAAAAAGCGTACGATTATTTGGAATCAAGCCAGCAATCATTTGCCTTTGCCGACATTAACTGTCGCCTTTGCCGGATCCACCATGGCTCATACGAGTATTTTGATAATTTCGAGAACCTTCAAAAACTAAGGAATGCATGAATTAATTCGGTTTGTGTCAAATTGATTGAATTGTTGTTGTTTATTATAAATTGAGGCATCTACCATATGGTTGATCAGATGGCTTTAGGCATACGTGTTTAAAATTTCGCTTATTATTTGTTATTCAATTGCAAGCATTCGAGGGAAAAAAGGCCCTTGTCCAAAGGTGATAGAAACAGCATCCTGCCCAGCACTTTTAATTGATTCTTAAGAGTAAAAAGGCAGGTAAAAAGAGTATTCAAATTTAGCTGTTTGATGCACACACTGCCATTGGTATATTACAAACTTCTAGATTATACGTTTAAAAACTCCCAACTATCCTAAGCAATTTGACTTCCTTGATGCAAAAGGCGGGTTAACCTTCGAATGTCACTTAGGGCCACATTATTGACTAAGCATAGTAAACAATCTATAACAAACCCGGATCATAATATTATTCTAAAATTGCTGCTTGGATGACAGTTTTTCTTAGGATGTCATTCTCTCTTAATGGTTCCTAACTTAAAATTGTGTAATGTTAAATATTAACCTTTGCTTGTAGAATTAAATTAAATTACATTTATATGTTAAAAGCAGAAGGTCTCCAATTGGCCACATATATCGACAATTTGCCAAAATTTCAATGGAATTCGGATGTCAGGGGATTGCCTTATTTAAATGAATACGATATTGACGAACAACTTCCTCAAACTATCAACTCCAGGTACTTGACTGTTTCTGAACTGGTACCTTCAAGTTCTAATACTAACCAACTCTCAATCCTACATACACCATAAGAAGTCTGTCTGGTCATTGCGATGATTTGATAACTGTGTGTGAAAGCTGAACTATATACAAAGCAAAATACTTACTAAAATTGATGTAAATGGCTATAAGCTTTATGATACAGTATCAAAGAGCCAAAATGGAGGTGTTGGTTTATATGTTAAAATATTGATATTGATAAGGATAATGATCAATTTCTCAATGGCGTTACTTTACTAGCCGAAAAGCATGTACCTATTAAAAAATGCACTAACAAAGAATCAAAACTTGGATTAACAGCAGATTACAAAAAATGATGAAAATTTGTAAAAAAATTTCGAAATTGCGGAGCAAGTGAACTGAAGAAAACTAAAATCAATTACTTTTAAGACTTCTTTGCAACAAATTGTAGGAATATGAAGAAGTTTTGGAATGGGATTAAGTCAATAATCTCAAATAAAGGCTCTGTTCAGTCATATATTTCTCAAATTGAAGATGAATATGGAGACTTTATATCTGATCCTACCCAAATGTCGAATATACTTAATGAATACTTTATGTTAATGTCGCTGAAAACATAACTAAAAACATCCCGAAAACATTGAAGTCTCCCCTTCAATATCTTATAAACCCAGAATTGAAGATAAAATATCAAATTTTGACTCTCCAAAATCTGTAGGTCCTCACAGTGTCCCAATAATGTTTTTTCTGCAAATGTCACCTTTGAGGTAAGATGCGACTTGGCTTGCTCTCGCTCAAACATCTTAAGGATTAGGCCATTTTATTTAAAGAAATGGATCAAGATAACGTAGAAAAGGTCATTACTCGGCTCTTAGCACCCATAAATTCCAAACTTGACGCTTTGCCAACGAAGAAAGACATCAAAAGTTCGTTACAAGCCTTCCATAAGGAATTATCTCATGTGGAAGCAAAAGTGGAGCAGGTTCATGGGGAAGTTAATGACTTGGCCCAATATATAAGGCGCCTTGATCTCCGGATCTTTGGAGTCTCAATATCTTCAGTCAAAGACCTAAATGTGGAGCGTTGGGTTACAAATTATTTTGAGAAGGATCTTGAAGTTGAGCTTCCGAATGATGCAATAGAGCGTGCCCATCGTACAGGCCGTGTGGTTGATGGTAAAGTACCAAAAAATGTATGTTTCAATTCCTGGAAAAACAGATGTTTAATCTATTCAAACTGTTTAATCTATTTCTAGGCATTTAACCTAGAAAGTTAGGCAGAAAAAAGGGAATTTCTCTGTTAGCGAAGATTTGACACAAGAAAACTACAGATTCTTCAAGGCCATTAAAGTTATTGCGGATCGATATCCCGACAAAGTTTCTTTCCTTTTTATCAACGTAAACTGTCGCATTGGAGTAAATTTGAAGGGTGGGTACCTAAAGTTTCCCAAGAACACCAAAGAGCTAATGGATATATTACAACAATGAGTATTTGACATTTTTTCCTGGCCTAATCCATTCACTAACGTTGATATTGAGGGCAGCCATTGGCATACCATTGGACCTCACCTTTGTATTTCATGTTGCATTATTTTTTTACTGAGGTGATTTCCGACAATATAATCTTAGGCGCAATAAGTTTATTCTACATGATTCTGATAATTTATGCACTGGTGAACCGAAATAAGTTTTAATGGTTTTAAAAACAAAATGCATCTAAAACTAGGCTTTTTAGGTGTAAAATGGGTCCTATTATACACATCAATCATGTCTCCAAGCTCAGAATGTTTTGATGCTCTGTATCAAAGTTCAGACCATACAACTAAGCCAAGTGTCAATCTCCTGTTTGTCGCATCTCTATATGATTGAAAACACTTTCATTCCTCCCAAAAGCAGCTTTTCAAATGATCTTTTTGGCTTTTATAAAGTATTCCCAATTCATTCACCAATAGTTTCCAAGGGGAGAGAATACAGGAAAACCATTCTGTTACTTTTATTAATCTCTGGGGATATTCATCCAAATCCTGGTCCTTCCTCATGTCAGAAGCATACCTGCAGACTGTGCAATGAGCATGTTGACACTAAGAAAAGAATTATCTGTTGTGATGTTTGTGATGCTTGGTCTCATATCAGTTGCGTGAGAGCCAAACAGGTCGATTCTTGCCTTGCAGATACAAATGTTGCCTGGATTTGCGATCGGTGTGACAGCTCTAACTTTTCTCATAGTTTTCGCTTATCTATATCTGATATAAAACCTAGTAATTATTTTACTCCTCTTTCAAATCAGCTAGGCTTGCCTGCAGCCCACTTTAGCCCAATAGCGAGTCGTGAGTCTTTTAACTCAGATGTGAAAAGTCTTTCAAATCTTCCATTAAAAATTCTTAATGCTAATGTAAACCATCTGCTTTCAAAGGATTAGAATTAAAGCAATTTATAACAGACAATGATATTGATATATTAATCGCCTCTGAAACTAAAATTAACAACGACATGCTTGATTCAGAATTAGGTCTGGATGATTTTGACATTTATCGCCAAGATAGAAACCTACACGAAGGCGGGGCACTGATCGCAGCTAAAAATACATCAAATCAGTAAAACTAAATATAAATACAAATTGTGAACTAGTTTTTGGCAAAATAATATCAAACAATACAATCCCAGTCATAATTAGCTCATTTTATCGTCCACCGTCATCAAATTCGGATATAGTGGAACTTGAGCAAAGCTTACTTAGCTTAACATTCTTGCACAATTGTAATTTTTTACTTTGTGGGGATTTTAATTTGCCAGATATTGATTGGACCAAAAACTGCTTGAAAAACAACAACCCAACCCAACCAGGTGAATCGAGGCTCCTCTTTGATATTTTTGCAGACTATGGCCTAACCCAACTTGTCAACTTCCCGACAAGAGAATCCTCTACTTTACACCTCATTATAACTAATAAAGAACACAGCATAAACAACATAAAATCCTGTCCTGGGGTTAGTGATCTCGACATGCTCATGTTTCATTTTTATGTAAAGACTCAAAGATTATCCAATTGTGCCAGAAAAATTTATCTTTACCACCAAGCAGACCTACCAAAATTCAAACAAGGCCTCACTCTCATACACAATGAAATGATTTCCAGACAAAATTACGAATCGATTGATAAGTTGCGGTGTTTCTTCAAAAATTCTATTAGTAAACTGACTGAGGATTTCGTTCCATTCAAATATGCAAAAAACAATTCCTTTCTTCCTTGGATAACTAAAAGTGTCCGTAGGGAAATCCGCAAGACGGAACGGTTATTCAAAAAAGCAAAAAAGTCTGGAAATCAAAATGATGCCACCAAATTTAAAACTCAGAGAAAGAAAGTAAAACAAATAATGAAAGTAGCTCATGATGATTACATTAACAATTGCATTCAAAAAGACATAGATAAAAAACCAAAAAAGTTCTGGAAGTACATTAAAGCAAAAAGATTTTCCAGTAGTTCGATTAAATGCCTTACAAAAAATGGTCAAGCCTTTACAAAAACGAAACACATACCTAACACTCTAAATACGACATTCTATGAGGCATTTAGCAAAAGTGACTATGCCATTAGCGATACCAAAAACTCTGGTCATAACTTCCCTGTCATTCCCGATATGCCTAACGTCGAAGTATCGTGTACAGGTGTTGAAGCATTAATCAGCGGGCTTGATGATAGCAAGGCAACTGGTCCTGATAACATCGGCGCCAAGTTATTGAAGTTAGCCCCATCAGAAGTGAGCCAGTGTTTAACTATTATCTTTAAAAATTCATTGAGAAATACAGGCGTGCCAGAGGATTGGAAAACTGCAAATATTACCTCAATATTCAAAAAAGGGGACAGATCTGACCCTCGTAACTATAGACCAGTATCCATAACTTCTATAACTTGTAAACTTCTAGAGCATATAATAAAATCAGCAATATACTCGCATTTGGAAACCTTCCAAATAATAACAGACAAACAGAATGGTTTCCAAAAGAAATATTTGTGTACTTCCCAGTTGTTGATGCTTGTAAACAGACTTGCAGAATCTATCAATTCGAGAGGCCAGACCGATGTTATATTCCTCGACTTTTCTAAGGCTTTTGATAAATTTTCTCACGATAAATTATTACTGACACTACAAAGTTACGGTATACGGGGACAAATTCTTCTGTGGATTAAAGATTTTCTTAGTGGTAGAACTCAAAGAGTTGTAATGGATGGAGAAAAATCGTCCTCTTATCACATGCTCTCGGGTGTTCCACAAGGATCTGTCCTCGGCCCCATACTTTTTCTAATATTCATAAATGACATTGTTAACGATGTTTCTTCTGACATAAGTCTTTTTGCTGACGACTGTGCTCTTTATAGAAGGATCGAAACACTAGATGAAAAAAATTGAATCTTATAAATATTTAGGCATTTATATCAGCAAAGATTTACGCTGGAATAAGACTGTTGATCAAATAGTAGGAAAAGCGAATAGATCTCTTGGTTTGATTTGGAGAAACTTTTTTAGAAGTCCACGCCAGGTGTGTGAAAAACTTTACTTCACGCTGGTTTATCTCACCTTGAATATGCATGCGAAGTGTGGTCACCGCATACTAATGAACTGAAACAACGAATCGAAAAGGTCCAAAGAAACGGAGCACGTTTTGTTTTGGGAGAGTACCGTCAGAGATCTAGCGTCACAGATTAAATGGGACTCACTTGAATCACGTAGATTACTATTTCAACTGAAATATGTTCATAAAATGTTTACAAATCAGGTTGCTTTGGACCCTAACGTTTTCTTTTCCCCTGCAACTTGTTCAATGACAAGGAACCCTAGCTCATTGAAGATCATGCCTTAATTCGGAAGGGTTGTTGCTGTTAGGTTTTCATTTTTTTATTCAATCGTTTCTGTATGGAATAGCCTGCCAGACAGTAATGTGATGCAGGCAAATTCGGATACCTTTTACAACCTATGTCAAAATCACCTCAGTAAATTTTAAAATTTTAATGTTGTAGTTGACTGGGCAGACATTTGTATGACCCAAAGGGTTGTTAAATGTCAATGTAATGATGTTGATGAATAAATTTTATAAAAATTCTTAAACAACATATCTCCCATCCACTTGCTGAGCTCATTAATCAATCTTTTCTAAACGGAATTTTCCCACGTAAATTAAAGTTGGCTAAAGTATTCCCTCTTTTTAAAAAGGGAGACCCTGAAGTTAGACCCAACTATAGGCCGATCTCGTTGTTGCCAATTTTTAGTAAATTGTATGAAAAAGTAATGCACAAAAGGCTATACTCTTTTGTTACTCTTGATAAAATCAGATATACTTTACAGTTTGCCTTTCAAGAAAATCATTCGATTGATCATGCATCAATTAGTATGACTGAAGCTATTAAAAGTAGTCTTGACAACAATTATGAGTGAGGTATATTTATTGACTTACAAAAGGCCTTTGATACTGTAAATCATAACATTTTGCTTTCCAAACTCGAACACTATGGAATTAGAGGGAATGCACGAATGGGTGGTTCAAATCGTATCTTACAGATAGAGCACAGTTTGTTAATGGTAGAAATTCAGAGCAACTGAAGTTTACATATGGTGTACCCCAGGAATCATTGCTAGGACCCTTGCTATTTCTTTGATACATCAACGATTTACCAAGAGTTTCAAAACATTTAAAATTCTTCCTCTTCGCTGATGTCACGAATATCTACTTTAATCAGAAACACTTGAAAAGCTTACTAAGAAGGTAAACAAAGAATTAGAATATGTCAAACATTGGCTTGATGCGAATAAACTCTGTTGGAATATAAGTAAAACTAACTTCATAATTTTTCATTTTTCCTCAGGCTCATTACCACTAGACATTATAAAGGCAATCAACACGTGGTGATCTCTTCCTCGCTATGGCAAATACTTTACAATATGGCTGGAAATCAACTCGATATATGGGGGAAAAATTCTGGAACAATCTACCTGTAGAAATAAGAAATACTTCTTCTAAGTTCTTATTCAAAAAATATTTGAAAAACTATCTTCTAGAAACTATTTGAAAATCAGGGAGCTTTACAAAATTTCTTGTTTAGTCCATAAAGGAATTTAATTTAATCCAACAAGACATAATTATAGATGAACATATAGATCGCGAAAACAAAAGGGGGCCTTAATCTCGTTAGTTAACATACTTTGATGGCTTCTTCTTAAGAAATCTGCTTCATTTTCTCTTTTAAATAATGTTATTGCTGTTGTTGCGTTCTTCAGTTGATATTTTTATAATTTATATAGCTAACTAGCTTTTAGAAATGTAGTAGAGTTTGAATGCAGTTATGTACAAGTGTAAAGAATGTTTTTTAAATGAGTGACATCTGAAAGATCATTTTTTAATGAAACCTTGATAGCTTTGCCTCAAAAATAATAACCCATCACCTGCTTCATTGAGTCTCTGTCCTTGTTTCTTGCATTTAAAATCATGGCTGTAAGGTGACACATGTAATCATATTTCTTCTTGTTTTTACAATCATGGCCACCCAGAGTCCAGCTTTTTTGCTCCATTTTCTTGACCATACAGGCTCCCCATTTGCATTTTCTCATTTGTGACCGTTGGCAATGGTGATTGTGGTCAACGACTTCTAGTTTGCTTCTTGTGCGTATGACGGATATCTGCAAATAGGTGTGAAGAGCTCAAACTTAAAGTGTTTATGCAATAGAAAATTCTAAATTTACATTTTTTCAAATTATAAAAATTTTGTCTTTTCTGATCACTTTGTTTCTATCCTGGTCAGAAAAGATCAACTTTAGGTATTTTTTCTTGTTTTTTATAATTTAGTAGTAGAGGTGAATTTTTTAAATTTGGCGCCTTGTTGGTCGTGACGTAACAAGTAGTAGTCAAGCAGCGAGACGAGGCAACGCGGGTCAATCCTTCATTCAATAACAACTTCGACGCTCTGGGAATTTATTAACTTTTTACGAAAACGATGGCATCCAATGACTCAGGCAGAAGCGATAATTCTGCTAGCAGTTCTAGTGGTGAAGAAGATTACGGTGTTGTGAGGCTGCAAGGTTTTGCGCCATATCAAGACGAGCCTCTCGCCATTGCCGGGCAACCAACATTTCATTTCGAAGAAGATAAAGACGGGATTCCTCACGCCGTTTTGGCTGCCAGGCAGGAACAACGAATAATTGTGGAAGAATGGTATGTGATATTGTATTTTGATATTTTATACCTAATTATTTCGTTTCAAGAGGAGTTCTCTTCTTGTTTTTCAAAATAAAAACTGTCCTAGTAAGTTTAGGCCCTTTCCCAGGGGCGGCGGGCAGTGTTATTACCATTATTACTGTAATAACACTTTTTCCAAAGTCTTTATCAGTTTGATGCATTCGTCTGCTAGACACAACCAATGACGTAGAAATAATATGGTATCTGTCCTCTATTCATCTGAAGGGGATGATAATTACCTGCTAATCCTTAACCACAGGAAGCCTATTATGTTTTTCAATGGTATTTCAAATCGTTCAAAAATAGTTCGAGGCTCCCGGTCTCATTATTACTTTCGCGTTTCTAATAACGGAAACAGCAAAGTCTTTGTCACGGGACTCACCGATGACGTAAAATTCAATTGTTCTTAGTCCTTGAAATAAAGGAGCCTAGCAGCCCCGTTATTACTTCTGGGATTCTAATAACGCGGCCATTTACCTTTTGCCAGTGCTGTTTTATGATTTTGCTTGTAAGTTAGCTGTTTCAAAATGAATCGTGTTGTGGAAGATCCAGTGAATGACCATCGTCTGGGTGTTCAAAGTGTTATTATTTTGAAACGGGTGGAATTAACTCACTAGCAACGTCTCGAACTGAAAGGCCGTGCCAGATATATCTTGTCGTGTATTTTTCTATAATAAATATTTAGCCTGCATCCTTTCAAATTTATTTGTACATTTGTAAACTGTAGCTATTCAAAATGTTGCAAGTTGCTTATGTAAAGGCATTTAAAATGAATGATGAACTGAACTGAACCTTGAATGTGTTCAGAGGGCTTTCACGCAGCGGTTTCCGTTATTACAATCGCGATTCTAATAACGGGCCCACATGGTGGCTCAGAGGAAGTGGCCGCCAAATATTTTTCACGACTAATCACCGCTCGCAAGCCCTTCTGACAAATGTTACAGCCCTCCAGTTTGTTTAAAAAGACCAACAGGAAATCAGGCTCTTCATAGATTTCTTTTTGATATGCGAGCAAGGAAGTATCTGCATTTATTTTCTAGGAGATACAGCACTAAAATTGCCAATTAACTTAAAACTTTCAGCATTCGCTCAGATTCTTAGTTGCTTACAAAAATGTGTATACCCGATCAATTTATGTCTTTTAGTGACTTTTTGTTTGTTGTTTAGAGTCAATTGAAGATATGCATATTTCCCCAACGTATGGCTAGGCCAAATTTGGGGGGGAGTGTTGTAAAACCCCTATACCCCTCCAGCTGAGGAGGTTCAAAATTCCTTCATAAAGAAATTGTTAATTTTCCTTTTTCGTGCCTCTTCCATACGTTTGAAAAAGTAATACCAAAAAAAATTTACTCCCAGCCGCCCCTGCCCTTTCCGGACTGGATCAGTCGGGAAGGTGTGTCATGAGGTGGAAACTGAAATTACTGTGTTACTCAGACACATCAAATATTTTATCGTTGTATTTAACGCAGGTGTTCCTGTGGAAAGTGTAAAGCGGATCGTTTGGTTGGTGCCCTAGAATTTCGTTGCTGCACAGAAGTTGCTGAAGCTAATGGCAAATTGACTTTTGAAGGTAGAGAGGACATTTCATGCATAATCCAACACGAAGATTACACTGCAGTGACAAATGAAGCCGTACTGACGATGACTGGCCCCTTATTGAAAGACAAGAATGATCGACTATACAAAAGAAAAGCAGGACAAAGCAAAAACCAGTATGTGTGCTCTTGTATCTTTTTTTCCAATGCACTGTTACCAACAAGATGGATATTCCATTACAAACGAAGCATACTTTGTTTAGTCCTGCAATTAAAGCACAACCCAAAAAAGCAAAGGCGATGAAGTCTTAGTACTAATAGGATTCAGCAGTCAGAAATTGTGTTTTAGAAGAAATGTTTCACGAAAATCCTACCAAAGCCTTATTGAGGTTTATGATTCTACACCAGTCCCAAAAATTTACCAAGTATGGGGTATGTTTTTGGAACACTCTCTAAAATAACTTCAGAATATGGAATCAGCAAAAAGTTCCGCAATTTAAGTTATGAAACAAAATTCAAATTAAAGACATTTTTATTATTTATCATTAGATATTTGAGGGCAGATGCATAACGTTGGGTAGTAAGGTGGATTTTTGGTTATCTGGGCTGGGACAACACAAGACCCCTTCCAGCATGCATCTACAACCATAAAAGGGAAAAATATCAAGTAGCCGAAGCTATAGGGTATGCCTCTGCTCAAGAAAAGCAGTGACCTGCAAAAGGTAGGTACATTCCATACGTCACTGCATGTTGTTATTTTTATATAATGAAAAAAGTTGCTGGAAACAGTATATATATATATATATTATAAATGAAAAAAACGCAAAATATTAGTCCGATCAGTCAGATGGAGGGGCAACTGTGGCCTCTGGACAGTGGTCTCTTGGATGACCCAACTTTGGCTTCTTGCATTTCTTACAAGAGGGTGGGGCTCTTGTCTTCTTTGGAATGATGGCAGGAGAAGCTGGTGACTGCAGCTCTTCTTGCTGTTCAACTATAAACATAATTAGGTAGAAGTAGAAATTTTGGGTTACTTCAACATTTCATTGACAAGTAATTGTCCTAGTGAACAAGATAAATTCACAGAGTTGAAACTTTACACAAATGGCCCATGCAGACTGTAACAAGGCATACTTCAACAGCAAATATTAGCATACTTCAAAAGCAAAAAATTGAATTGGAGACTGTAGGTGAGGTAATCAGAACTTGCTCAGTCTACCCTGTTCAGTATACTGCTTAAATCATGAATTTTCCCCCCTGCAAGACTTCATAGCCCTTTAACCCTGGTAAAAGAACATTAATTAAAATCGGAAATTGTGATGATGATCAAAACCTACTTGTTGGATAATATGGAGTCTGTATAGACTTTCTTTCATTTTGGTACCTGATTGTATCAGCTTTTGTACGTCGTTCTGTGAACTGACTTGTCAGTGACTCTGGGATATCTCTGGTAAAATTCTCAAATGCTTCTTTCAGGTCTTGTATTGATTTTGACAGCATAATGTCTTTGATATCGTTAACATAACCTGTTAAGAGCAAAAAATTATCCTCAAACTTAAACCAATCTTTAAATTTTATTTCGTAGAGCCTGTGAAGTCTACTGGGAAGAAATCACTTATAACAATAAATACAAAAGTGCCTTACTATAAGTTGGAGGAATGGCAACCACACGCACTACTTCTTCTCCAAGCTTGAACTTTGGGTAAAGCACATTGTAGGATAGTTCACCATCAGTAGTCCTTTTTCTTTCCCTCTGAATATTTTCATTGAAATGCATGGCAGCCAATGCATGTCTAAAAGTATTAAAGAAAACAGATATTTTATTGATAGTGAACAAATAGAAGTGATTTCTCTTTGCTTACATAGAAAATCTTGATTCTGTTGAGTGCTTCTGCCATACCTGTACCTTTTGATCCTCATGTTTAAAAGTTTTCAGCAGGTAACAGAAATGAAACAGGGGTGTAATATACCATATACAGTAGATACAGCACCAAGTTGTATCCAGATGAACATAAATGTAATATAGCCACATTCAGCTATGTTTGTTTTATCCATTTCAAATTGTAGTAGCTGCTTCCACAAATCAACAGCTCAAAATGCTGTAGCAAGCTTTTACAGTACAAGTTGAAAACAAATGATTATGATTGCATCAGATGTTGTTTTCTATTCTTGGTTTCAAACCATAAGAATAAGTTTTTAGGCACATGTTCTGCAGACTACTTTACAATGATATAAAGTATGCAATTGAAGAGACAAACCTTTCGGTATCCAGTCACGAGGCTCAATTTCTTCATGTGCACAATTTTGGAATAAGGGATCTGGATGGTCTGAATGTTGATCTGCAACATGGTGCATTATCGACTTCCATTTTGCAATAATCAGTTCTCCAAAGCCTTGTTTTGTGGAAACAGCACACCAATACAAATGGTTTCGAATTCCTTTCATCCATGATTTCAAAATTTCATTTCCCTTTTCTTGACTTGCTGCTAGGAGTCTCTTTGTTATACTTTTAGATACATGCCAGAAGTCATGGAAGTGCTTTGTCTCTGGCTCTGATTCGCGGATCCATTTTGCTATGCTTCTGTGTCTGTCACTGATGAAAGAAGGTCTTCAATCCAGCATTCTTCAGAAATTCAAAGCATCTCTTTGCACCAAATAATTCCATTGCATTGGAACTCCCAGCTTGATTGGCCTGAAAATGGAATATCGCAACCAAGTTACTTTATATTCAAAGACTTTAAAGCTGTACTTATACCAAGTATCTCTCATCACTGTATATTCCTGATAGGTATATTCTATTTATTTATTTATAGAAAGAATGTATATCACCTGTACTACTTCAAAATGGACAATTTTTGAGATGGAGTTGCAGAACATTGTATAAGCACCATATTTGGCATTGTGCCCCATCGAATCAAAACGTCCATCTCCTGACCATTGGACACCTTTCAGATCCTTCACTTTTTCGATTAGTAATTTGCATTGTTTGTCCCATTCCAACAGTACAGAGGGAAATAAAAACTTTCTTTGATGAAGAAAAGAAGTATGCACCGATATTTCTAATAATCTAATGTGTTTGAATAACTTGACTTATGGAAAGACCAGATGTCATAATGGCAAAATTCATCATAAAAACTCAAAGATCCCCTGCAGGAACTTTTCCAAACAGCAATGGCTGACTTTCCACCTAAACTCCTTGCCACCCTGCCTGCAAGACTGGGTAACAGTTGCCATTGATCCTGTTTGATGTATCTCAGCATTGGGATTATCTGCTTTACAATGGAAACAGAACTGGCTGAATAGTGCCATCAGCATACCAAAGAAGACAATAAATTTGGGCTCATCAGTAGGCTTAGTCTCAGGGCTACAACTGAAAAGGAGAATGGAGTGTCAGCATTTCATTCAATAGAATAATGTGAACTTTGACGTTGCTTTTAGTAAAATTTTCATTCAATGAACATAGTATAATGTTCAAGAACAGTTCTTTTTGTTCTCTACCCTTTTCAGCAATTTTTCCCCAGGAATTATGAAAATTCAGCTCACATATCTTACCCCTCCCTGTCCACCTCCCCTATGAATTTGGGCTAACCATTAAGAGAAACCAAGAGTAGTTAATTTCCTTTTCCCACTTTGTTTTGCTTCCAATTTTTGTTTTTGCTTGGACATGTAATTTTTACACAGCGTATAATGTTTACTTACTCAACTCTGTTTTTTTTATCAAATTTTGCATCAGTATCAAGGACCTCTTCGTCTGATGAAAATTCAGTTTTTTCATGGCTTGACCAGTCCGTATCTGATTCTTCAAATTCAGTCTCGTCACGAGGTAAAATATCACTCATCTCTGAAAATGTTCTTTTTCTTGCTACACCTTCTTCATCATCATCATCAAAATCATCATTGTCGTCATATTCAGTAATCTGCATAATAAGTCAAAGTACATTACAGCTGATTAAACACTGTTTATATCAATCTGGTTTATAAGAAAATTTGACAGTTAAATAAAAACTTAATAGTGCTATGTCTCAAAAGTAGTGAGAAATTTTTCAAGTTGAATACTAATGACTTTGTGGCAATTATGTTATTGAACCCAACCTTAAATTTAAAAAAATAACTTTAGACCAGGAATCACAATATTTACTTGGTCAGAAGGTCATTCAGCTTTTTGAGCAAGTCTAGGAAGCAGCACCCCCTAGCTCCATCCCTTCTGCCTGGGCCTTCTGAAACCCATTTGACACAATATCTGAATCAAAACTTACTTCCTGTTGGGCATTGGCTTTCAATTCATCCCTTCTTTTCTTCAGGTTGTGAATTCTCTTTTGTAATTTAAGGATTTTTTGTTGACGAACACCGCATTTTTCACAATTTTTTTCCCCAACCTCGCCATCTTTTGCCGTGTTTCTTTCGCTTGGCTTTTATTCTTCGGCACTTTCGTGGTCCCTTGGTCCATGCGATTGTAAAATAACGTCTCCTTCAACAACATGGTCGTCCTGTCGCTTCTCTCGAATCATGTTCCGAAGAATCTATGTTCAAAGATAACAGAAAAAAAATCGAAGTGACCAGAAAGAAAAACTTGAAAATAATTGAGACTGGTGAGCACAACAACGAATTCTTACCTGTCTTTTTTCACGAGCTTGGAGAGGCAAACTGACTTGTTCTTCCCTAATATTCGCGACATCAATCAAAGGAACAGCATCTGGTTTTAAATAAACTTTCATTCTGAGTGACAATGCGATATCTCGTCTCATTGTGTAACTGGCATCGTCAAAATGAATCCCACACAAAACAGATTGGTCTGATGGATTCCAGTTAGGCCGGTGCCGGCGAACGAAGCGTACCCATAGCAAATGTCGCTCACGATCTTTAACTTTGTGTGGAAAATGATGGATAGATATTCCCTTCGTATGCTGACTATTTCCACAACTCACCCCGTTCGGGCCACCAGCAACACAACGTTTTCCTCCAACAGGTATAGCTCTCGCACGCGTGTCTGTCGCCATTACTAATTCTGCGAATTGAATGATTACTACCATCTCTATGACTACTACTTTCTACGTCATAATCGAAGGATCAAATAATAAACCATTTCACCTTTGATTCCTATGAATCCTAAACTTTGGATGGCAATATTTTCGCAACGGAAGAAGATATCTCGATTCCGTTTTCTGGAATATTATTCTATTGATACAAATTTTTTATTTTTAATGACAATAAAAAATCCAGTCTCACATTGCATAAACAATTTAAAGGAGAATGGCAGAACTTTAGATAATCCACTCTCTGTAGTAAATATATGATCCGAAAATTCAAGATCCGAAAATGTTTTTTCTGTATCTCTTTTCGTTTTGACGCGCGGGGCCGAGAAAGTGAGCAGCGACGTCCCTTTACGAAAAAGAGCGTTTTTGAGTGCGTCTTCTCCCGCGTTAGTTCAGGCAGCCCTTGTGACGTCACATGTGATCAGTGGTTTAAGCAATTTAGGCCTACGCATGCAGTAAAGAGGACAAGTTTTGTACATTGCATTTTGATTGTTGAGATGACTGAAACATACGAAGAAGAATCGATGGCAGATTTATGAATATATATTAAGGATAAAAATGTTAAACCGTTCATGTTCGAGCCTATGCCGGAATCACACGATTACAACGAGACAAATGAATTGTTGTCTTCCTCAGAGGAAAGCGAGACAGAGGATACAAACACCGAGAGAATCGGTAATACATTTTGGTGAGTAAATATATTTACGAGCTTACTAAGCACTTAACTAAATTAGCAAAAAGATTAAAATATTACATGTATTAAGGCCTACTCAATTAAACAGTTTCCTTGTTCCTACGATGGCTAAGGCGAAGGACGAATCAAGATAAACTAGTTGAAAATGAACTTTACTTTTGTCACAGGTGCCAATGCAATCATTGTTCCCCAATGCCGACAGGTCGAGAGGGCTTGTGCTGCCGAGAAGTTTTTAAAGTAAGGACGAAAGCTGACAGTCAGGGTGTTTTTTGCATCGCAGATGATGATGACTTTAAGACAGTTTGCCTAAATAGAGCTGTGGTTGAGACAGCAATTTACCAATTTATCGAGGAAGAGGAATTCCTGGATGATACTTCTACTTCTGAGTAAGTCTGACATTTTCATGAAAGATCTGCAACAATTAATCCGTTAAATGGGTGATTAGTAACCCTTCAGAAACAAAATTACTGACTTGCTTGTAAAAAATTGCTTCCTTTTTCTAAACCCAAGCTGTTTGGAACTTTCTTTGCTCTATTTCATGATATTAACCCCAAGTCTTTTTCATTAGGCTTTTCAGGTACGTGAGCTAAAGACAGTTTGTTGGCTGGGTATGGCACAAGCTTGGCAAGAACAGGAGAGAGATTTTACCAGCATGCGTTGTATCATCGATAGGTAACAAATTCCCCCCCTGATAAATACACAGGGTTCAAGTATCCGAAACTAGATTATTAAATAGTTAATTTTTGTCGTATAATCATACCAGACTGCAAAGATTTTTTGTTAATCATACCTAAAAATTGCAAACTAGTAGTAATATGTATATTTTTGCATTTATTTTCTTATTTCAGGGGAAATAGCAATTTCAGATTATTTATCTATGGCATAAAACTATTTGCCCTTGGACTTTCTCACATTGACAAGGCCACCTTTTTTGATCAAAGTTTTCCTTGGAGGTATTTTGGCAATCTTCCTTGTTGCTGTCTCGTGATTTGTATCTCTAGTTAATCTGGCAAACCTTTCCCGCTTTGCAGCAAGAGCCTCTTCTTTTGTTCTCTTGGTTGCTACGGAGCTCAGGAAGTCAGGGATTTCCTGCAAAGCAGCAGCTTGCTCTTTTGCCACTAAAATACTTGGGGCTTGTTTTCGAAGCTTGACCAGTTCTTCCATCAGTTTGTTGACATACTCTAAAAAAGTTCCAAAAGGGATTTCATATTCAAATGATTGCAAAATGGAAAGTAACTATAAACATTCATTTACTCTGCAAAAATAAAAAAATTAAACTAAACAGTAAATAACTTCTCCAAGAATAGTAAGAATTGATGAATCTAAGATTAATCTAAATTAATTTATCTAAAAATAAGCTAAAATTAATTTAAAAATGAATTTAATTGAATCAAAGGGGAGATCAATTTAATTGTTGAACTATTTCTCACCTATGTGCATTTCTCTTTCACCTCTTGAACAACACCATCTCCACTCCTATACTTTGGGTATGATACCTTCCACATTTTCTCCCCAGTCTCCTTTCTTTGCTGTGCTCGTTGCGAGTTTTCATTAAAATGCATAGCAGCAAGGAACAAGCTGGAAAAACAATATTCATACTAGTTAATACTTCTACCAAGTATGTAAAAGGCAGTTTCAGAGATAAAACTTGTGTTTTAACCCTAATTCTTTGTATCCTTTTGATCCTGCAATGATTAAAAGTAATTAACTTTAAAAAATACTGCTATCCCCTTTACCTAGAAACTATATAGGTGTGGTAGAAAGAGGGTGTGGTAGATTTTACATTTTGGGAAACAAAAGACTAAAGGTGCATTTTACATTTGGTGAATGTGAGAGTTTAACAACACTTTGTGGATAAAATAATGCAATTCTCTGAAATGAATTTTTGCCTGGAATTATTGCAGTCTCTGCCTCTCAATCCCATACTTTATATGTTGTAACAGAGGTTTTGTTCCCACCTTTTTTCAACCAATCAAGTTCAATGCTGTCATGTGGGCATTCCTTATATTCATTGCCATGGCCGGTGTGTATATCAACAATGTGATTGAGAATAGTATGCCCCGCCATATGGGACAAAAGTCAATTATACAAAATATAGGATGTCATTGTAAATATATTGTTTAAATCTATTATAAATCTGTTGTACAATTCATATCGACGTTATTTCCTCTAACTTAATGCGTGTCCACTTAACATATATAAATTGTTGTCGGAAATTTCAGATATATAAGGTCTGAATTTGTTTGCAAATATATAAGGTCTGAATTTGTTTGCAAATATAAGGTCTGAATTTGTTTGCAAATATATAAGGTCTAAGCGCGAACAATGTGCGCAGTGACATTTCCCGCCAATTATGAGCACCAGAGGCAAAAGACTGGCCTAAGCAATACCAACGAATATTAATTATGTCGTTCGAAGTTGACTTTCAACAGTTTCTGGTTGATCTTCCTGGACAACTATCTCAGGCTCGACGACAAGCTTTCAGTAGTAATTTGAATATGCTCGAATTTTGGAATAGACGTTTGCAAGACTTTTTACATGTTTTAAGCGTTTTCATTAGGAGGTGTGAATGTGCGACAGAAACACCTGAAAGTTTGTGTGTGTATCTAAGAGAGCTTTTTGTAGAAATTGGTAATCTACACAATTTAGTTGAGAGTAACATCTTTGCTGATGAAAGCTACTTACCAGAAATGACTGCACACTCTGTTAGGTGCCCTGAAGAGCACAATGAAGGTGCCTGTGGCAGACCTAGAAAATTATTAGAGAAGGAAGAAATTGCGAACCTGTTTGAGATACACAATTCATGGCATACAGTAGCTCAACTATTGGGAATATCAGAGAAAACTTTGAGGAGGAGGAGACATGAGTATGGTATGAGCATTGCAAGTTCTGTGGGACCACGTTCAACCTTTACCAAAATATCAGATGAGGACTTGTGTACAGTTATCAGTGATGCTTTGAGGATATTACCTAATGCTGGGGAAAGCTACATAATTGGTGCTTGCAGATCAAGAAATCTTCACGTGCAAAGGTGGCGCATTAGAGAGGCTATTCTAAGAGTTGACCCAGTCAGCAGAGCATTGCGAAGGACAACTAGCATTATTAGGCGGACCTACAGTGTTCCTGCGCCAAATTCTCTATGGTTTGTAGGCCCTTAGTTAGTTACAAATTATTTAATTAATGTACTACTACAAAGGCAACAAATTTTGCTGGTCGGAACATATTTTTGAGCTATTTTACCAAAGAACCTAGATTGAACAACTTCTGCATACTATGTCATAATGCAAGGCCACGCTTTCAAAAAAAACACTTTTTCACACCTTGCCTAAGTTTATAGATATATATATATATATATATCTATGACTCGAGCAATAGAGAGTTTTTCAAGTTATATTTGCAAGTACTAGAGCCGTTTTTAATTTTTAGGGGTTTTTATTTTTTTGGTAATTTTTAATATTCTCTAACTATTTTGTAGTAATAGTCTAAACCAATGGAATTTGATATACTTCCCACATTGATTTTTTTAATTTACAGGCATATTGATGGCCACCATAAGCTAATTAGATGGAGATTTGTTATTCATGGAGGGATTGATGGATATAGTCGACTCATTGTTTTTTTGAAGTGCAGCACAAACAACTTGTCCAATACTGTTCTGGCACTTTTTCAGGAAGCTGTTGCTGTTTATGGATTACCATCCAGAGTTCGAGGTGATTTTGGGGTTGAGAATGTGAAGGTGGCACAATATATGCTAAATCACCCACAGAGAGGGATCAATCGTGGAAGTATGATATTGGGTAGTTCCGTTCACAACCAAAGAATTGAGCGTCTGTGGGGGGAAGTAAAACGTGTTGTAGTGGGACATTACCAAAACATATTTTACTTTTTGGAAAATCAAGCACTCCTTGACCCCTTGGATGAAATACATCTTCATTCCCTTCACTATGTCTATTTGCCACGAATAAACAAAGCTCTTAAAGAAATGTCCAATGTCTGGGCATTTCATCCTCTCTCTTCCGCTCAAAACCGATCACCTAATCAACTTTGGCATCTTGGATTATCAAGATTTCACAACTTGGACCCAGAGACAGAAGACCAGGCTTTGGTTGGCAATTGGAATGAATATGGGTTGGATGAAGATGCACCTTTGCCAAATGTCAATACTGATAATAATGTTCAGGTACCTGATAATAGGATACAACTGACAGAGGAGCAAATTGAACTTTTGGGAGCAGCGATAGATCCAATGGCTTTTGATGATAACGAGGGCATCAACATTTACCAGGAAACGGTGCAATATTTAAAAGATTTATTATCTGAATAAAAGCATGATATGATATAAAAAACCAACAATCATGGCCTTTTATCTAAATACTGGTCTTAGTTAAATGTTTTTTTACAAAAAGTAAGCATTTGGGCTTGCACTGAAAAACGTTTCTTCAGGCTTCTTAAAAAGTTCTATATGTTATGTTTCTTAAATTTCCATTCACATCCTCATGAACATTTCAAAAGAACAATTTTATATGTAACTATGCAGGGTATTTATATACTTTAATTACCATAGATCTTTTCTTAAGTTGTACTTGACAAGTACAGGAGTTTCTGACATTTTTGGCTCTTATTAGTTTCTTGCACAAATGGCTAGGACGGGGGCAAATTTTTTTGGCTAATGTCTGGGGGATGGCAAAATGGACTTGTAAGCCTAACAAAATATACATGGCTAACAACTAGTTAAATGGGAATAAAGTCAATACAATTCAATATAATGGGATATGGTCTGATGATTTAAAGTTGAGGCTTCTTATATTGCTCTGAGGTCTTATTTATTTGTTAGACAATTATTTTTTATTCCTTGTTTGAATTCATGATCCCCAAATTGTATAATTACACTCCATAATTCCTTAACAAAAATTAAACAAGTTTACAAACGATCTTGATTTAACCTAAATCTACCACAGCTAATATATGTGAACAGCTAAATTTCCTAAAATACTGTCTTTAGTTTACTGAGCTAAAATGAACATAACATGTGGCTAAATATTAGTTACTTGTCATCAAATTGTTGACAATGGTATACCAACTCAAAGCTCTGCAAACCCTGCATGGCCAAAAGAAAGTCCTTGGTCCATTCTTGTAAAAAATCCATTCCTGGATGAGTGAACTGTTGGCAGACGGAGGATTGCTGCACAAGCTGTGGCTTTTGGGTATATTTCTGTATCATCATCTTCAAGAAATTCAACAGAAATTTGCAAAGATTCCCTTGTAGGGGGGACTGTCCACAGCCCAGTGACAAACTTTAAAATTGTGTTTAACTTCCCCTCTGGAAAAGTATCATCCTTGACCCCTTCTGATTCTTGAATATTGTCTAAGAACCATGTGTATGCTTGCTTTTCAGCATGTGTTTGATCGCCTTTAGGAAGAAGTAAACTCTTGAACTGTTCAGCAGTGATTACAGATGCTTGATAGCAAAGAAGAGTCTTGGCTTGATCCTTGTGTTTCTTTAAAATTGGGAAAAAGTTAAGCACTGCAAGCCCTTTACGAAAGGAAATGACTTGATACATTCTTTTTTGCATCAGTTCATTTGTTATAAGCTCTTGTATTAAGAGAGCTTTGTTTTGCATTGTAATTGCCTCAGTTGATGACCATTCTGAGGCATTGATAATTTCCCAAAATGCTTCTTTTTGGGGATCGTTATCAAGGATCTCTTCTATGGCCTGCTGGTTAATTGAGGAGTCAAGCTTCTCAACAAAATTGAAAAGTTTTTCAGTCATCGCATTCTTGGGTATGTCATCTTTGGAGATAAGACAGACTGTATTAGAGGTTTCATCCTCAAATAACAAGTCAACAAACCATTCTGCCAAGTAAGGAAATCCTGGACCCCCTTGTAACACTGAGTGCGCAATAAGGGCCCCTGCAATTTCAAACTGGATGCCTTTGCTTCCAATACCTCTTCTTGGAATGAGCTTGTTTGGATCACCCTCAAACAAGCGGAGCCTTTGCTTCTTCCATACATAAGTTGAAGAATTCCAGCTTGAGTGCACCACAATCGATTCCCTGTTCTCCACTGCCAATAAATTCTACAAACAAATTTTTCTTCAATCTGTCAGTATCCTTTAACCCCATTTTGTAAAAAGCCAAACAAGATCTCCAAATCTCTTCCCTTTCAACCTCTAACTTTTGGTCGTTACATGTATCAATGACTTTTTCTGCATGGTTCTTCAAAACTTTTTGGATACTCACCTCCTGACCAGTTTCAAAGAAAGCACTGTCTGCAGTACTAAAGGGTGAGAACTCCATGTGATCAGTACTGAAGATCTGTTCTGGTTGTTCTCCCAACAAGTATTGTGCTGCTTCATTGATGTTTCCATTTGCTGTTTCCAGTGCGGCCATAACATCATCAGAACTTTTGTTAGGGCAGAGTTCTTCAAGGCATGTTATGGAATCTTTTTCTTCAACCTTTCCAGACAAAAAAACTTACATTCAACATCTTTTAAGACCTCTTTGAAGACTAAACTCTATAATGTCAAATGTTCTGAGATGAAGAAATATGGGTGAGTTACCCAACAAAAACCATCTTTAAAATAGATTCAAAAATGGCTAACAAAATGGTAGACAGTTTCTTGTAAATGAACCAGTTACTAAAAATATAACATGAAAAGGTTTAAATAAATTGTAAAGATTTTGTTAAATATTATACCTTGTAGATATCTGTCATAAGGTGCTGGACTGTGTTCAGGTAGACCTGTTGTGGGGGTTTTGTCAACGGACGCATCTAGAGCACTTTGGCTGCGCAAACGTGACTGAGTGCTGCTTCCATTCAATTGTTTGGCTTGTTGCAAAACAATTTGCCGTAAACTACAGCCAACACCCAATCTAGAATTTGAAATCTGAACATCCTCATAACAAAAAGCTAACAATTGATTATAAACATGTTTATCAAGGGTGGTCAAATGCCACAAATTTCTTTTCCTGTGACTGTCCCATAGGTAACAAGGAAAATTTGCAGTTTTAAAAATAAACTGCCTTGAAACAAAAAATGTTGACAACCAGTAGTCAAAACAGGGTTATGGAACACATTTAGCCACTAACAAAAATGGGACACAATGCCCTGTAAAGCAATAGGGTATGACCACCCCTGATATATAGTAAATAATTTATCAATTTCTAAAACCTTATTCTTGGGTTGGGTTTAATATGATTCTTGGTGTTATGCCACTCAAGTGTAGACTCAATTCTTAATGTAGACTTTATTGATGTACCAAAGGTAAATCTACTGTTTAAATTGAGGGTGCCTGTTGAAAAACATCCAAGAAATCAAGTTTAATTTCAGTATAAAGACTAGATTATTATGAAAGATAAACTTCAGTTTCAAACCAAGTTTCAAAACTGGAATAGAAATCCAACCTTTAAAATGAAAGGACTGACAAATTTTTTGGTAAGAATTAAAAAAGCTAACAGCAGTAGACATATATAGAACAGGTATATTTTTCAATCCAGATTTATGTCTAGGTTTAAAACTGGGCATTATTTTTGTGTCCTTTCTGGGTCAGAATAAGCCCCTGGTTATGCTCTATAAAATGTTAAGCAAATTTCAAACTTTAGTATGAGCTCCAAACAGAATATTTCTGTGGCCCAAATGTTTTGAGTCAAAAAGGTTACATGCCATGAAAATCAATGCATGAAATATACCTAGAGCTCTGTGGTGTCTCTTTGGAGATGGATTGCAAAATCTCATGGAAACATTCTTCTAGGCATGAAAGGACTTGCTCTTCTGTCCAGTTTTTGTCCATCTCCAAGTCATTTAAGACATGACCTCTATCCATAAGTAAGGCCTTCTGGTTTGCCCGCACAACTTGGTCTGCCCTTGAGTCGGCTAACAGAATGACTTCCTTCAAACGGAATTTACTTCTACCGTTGCCATTCTGGGAGCTTGCGCGACGACTTCCCTGGGAAGCTGGGCGAGTGTATGGGGTTGCGGGCACAGAACTAGGCCGTCTGATGCTAGTACTATAAGCATTGCGCCCAATATTCCTCCCACGGGGAAATCTTTGGCGGCTGTCTAAAGAGTTTCCTCGTCGAAAAATCGAGGAAAATTCTTCTTGCGCGTTATTAAATTGCTGCCGGTCATCCAAAATGGGTCTCGTCGGAGCTGTTGGGCTGGAAGCTCCAGCACGAGCCGTTGCTACTTCAGCAGTGGAAGGCAAAGCCCTAAATACATTATTTAAAGTTTCCTGAAAAGAAGGATGGGAAATAATATTCCCAACCAACTCGTCAATGTTCCTCGCAGCCATTTTGTGCAAAATGTGTAAACTGTAAAGCGAGACGGATTTGGCGGGAAATGTCACTGCGCACATTGTTCGCGCTTAGACCTTATATATTTGCAAACAAATTCAGACCTTATATTTGCAAACAAATTCAGACCTTATATTTGCAAACAAATTCAGACCTTATATATTTGCAAACAAATTCAGACCTTATATATCTGAAATTTCCGACAACAATTTATATATGTTAAGTGGACACGCATTAAGTTAGAGGAAATAACGTCGATATGAATTGTACAACAGATTTATAATAGATTTAAACAATATATTTACAATGACATCCTATATTTTGTATAATAGACTTTTGTCCCATATGGCGGGGCATAGAAAAGAAAGCCACTTTTCCTTTATTAAGGTTGCATAACCACCTGATGAAGCAGCACACCAGTAGACCTGGTTTTTTATACTTTGGACCCATTGAAGAAGCATACGATTCCCTTTTTTCTTGCCTATCGCTTCGACTTTTTCCCAATTGCTAAAAAGTATTTTAGGATAACATTCAAAACTTGCTTACAATAGCCATTTAGGTATCAAACAAAACATGAATCCTTCCATGTGGTATATAAAGTGTACTTAACAATAGTTATGCCCTAGATGATATTATTTTGAATTAAAACACCAGAAATGTTGACACCAACAACTAGGCAGGAAAAGCGTATCAAAATTATAGTCGTTATAAATCAAAGCAAAATCAATAATAATTTCTAAAGAAAAGGGCTAGATGAAAAATCAAAATGGGAACTATATGCATCTAGTTTCAAGTTAAAGTCATAGTTTTTTACTTACATTTTGCAACATGGAAAACATCAAAGGGATGCTTTGTTTCTTTTCTTTCTGTTCGCATAAATTTTCTGACTGGTCCATGACGATCTTTGACCAAAGTACTGTATAACAAATGCTCACTATCTAACAGCTGTGAACATCGTTTTAGACCCTCAAGTTCCATGTGATTTGCACCACCAACTTCATTACTCTTAAAAGATAGATTTTTCTACATTTAGTTTCTTATGCTGGTATTGGCCCATTGCAAATGGAAAAACAATATTGAAATCTTGATGTAAGATTGAACATTGCATAATAATGACATAATAACGCCTTTGAAACAAGGCTTATTAAGAATGTTGCTCTTGCTTTTGAACATGACATTTCCTATAATTTCGAAAATAATAAACAGTAAGTATTCATATAATTAACAGGTATAGTTACCTGAACTAATTGCAAATCAATGACCTTATTGCTGCCAAGGTCCATTAGAGAATAGGACCCATATTTTGCGGAGTGTCCTGGAGAGTCCATCCTTGCATATCCTCCGAGTACAAGTTGCATGTTTTTCCTAGCCATAAACAGTTCTTGTTGACACTTTGCCCATACTGCATTTACTGTTGGTATCAAGTAGGCACGTTGTATGTCACTGCAGGCCTGCCAAGTACCACGGTTTTGCCGTGGGACCCACGGTTTTTAAAGAAAGCCCACAATCTCACGGTTGGTCAGGAAATTCTCACGGTAAATTCATAAATAAAAAAAATCAAAAAGTTTCTCCCAGTTTGCCATCTTTAACGAACAAATGCTAGTGTATCTGCATATTTAGCTCAGAGAACCGTTCTACGATATTGTTTTTCTTCTCATCTGCGGTTTGTGCCCCTGTGCTCTCGTGAAGCGTTTTCATTGAATTGAATGTTAAGGTAGCAGCGGGAAACAAAGAAAAAAAAATCGTTAGAAAGGTCATCGATGAAACTGGGAGGGACATTGTCGAGTATCCTAGCGATGAAAACAATGTATCCCAAGTCCAGCACGCCCTGTTATAGCTGGAAACCCACAGAAGAAGTCTTGGAAAGTTCCAAAAAAGCAACCATCAAATACAATGAAGAACACAAATAGATAGCCTACTTTTCATTTGGAATTCATGTTTCTTTTTAGTTCTTTTAACTTTTTATGATGTGATTGAACCCGTATTAAGACCTTCTTGTGTTTATAAAATCATTAAAAAAGTTGTTTGACTTTTCTCAAGGTTTTTCTACAAAACTCAAGATTTTTAAAGAAATTTTTAAGAAATCTCAAGGTTTTGCACCCACCAAACTTTGCAGGTCTGTCACTGTATTTACGGATTGCAATTGATGGCATGTTTAGGTGGTGGAAAAAAACAGAGCAGCTTGGAACACTGGGATCCCAAAAAGAGACATGAAGCAGCAATAAACAAATTACCCAAAGCCATCTGATTATGAAGCGGTTGAGACATCCATTTTGTTTCATGCCCATTTAGGCACTCTGCATTAATTTGCAACATAGACCCAAATAAACGCTTTCTGATTGAAATAACAGGGTGCAAGACACAAACTAAAAATAGCAAACAACTGCATTAGGCATGACTCAAAAACTAGAAATTTTCGCTCATTCCATCCAACTGGCGTAGTATTTATAGAGGCAACATATTCTTCCTCTTCTGATGCTGAAGATTCATTTGGTACCCACTCATTGCTATCTGAAGATGACATTCTCTCAGGGCTTGCTTCTGGATTCAAATTGGTACTCAAAGCAGATAGCAGCTCTGACAGAAACTAGTAGCAGCTCTGACAGAAAGCTGTCATTCATCTGAATGTATGCATCTCTTGTCCTGTACTCTGTCTGGGTAACTAGAATACAGTGGATCAAACCTAGAGAATTTTGATTGTAGCTGAAGTTTCTAATAATGGTCACTTTATACAGTTCTACTTACTAAGAGCATTTGATATTTTTGGATATTTTTGCTGCTTTCTGTTAGCCTGTAGATCAAATTCTATTCTCAATATTTTGCAAGACCCCAAAAGTATTCAAAAACAACCTTCAATTAGAAAAAAATATTTCAGATAATTTCAAATTTATGTTTTACCTCTTGACCATGATCTAGTATTTGTTTGGGTTCCTTTAAAGTGCCAACAAACCGGGGTCTGTGTGCTCGCATTAGATGCAGAGTAGAGCTCGTTTGAAATGACTGTAAGTTGGGTTGATGAATCACACATCTGTCTGTCAATACCGATTTCACTCTCAGAAATTTGTGATCTAACTTGCGTATCGGTAGTTGACTGTGTTCCAAGAGATTGGCCAAGTGAGTGACTGGTTGTTTGTAACATATCAGATACCAACTATCGAAAAATTAGCTTGCTTGTTCAAAATACGCAGATTATTATTTTGAAAAAACAAACAATGTAAAACATGTAATAACATGTAAAACCCGATTTTATAAACTGAAAACGTGCTTAAAAAAAAACTCCTTTGCACCAGATTGCTCCTATTTATTATTTGAATGATATTTTCTCACATCAACTCACAAGGCCTCTGGAAGAGTATCGTTTCATTTGACACTGACAGGTCAGGTAAAATAACTAAATTTAAACAACAGTGCATTTAAACAGCTCAAATTTTCATGAAACACTAATGATTGATTGGCAAGAAGCATTCTGTTGTTGTTTTT